CCAGGATGGTCTCGATCTCTTGACCTCGTGATCCACCCGCCTTGGCCTCCCAAAGTGCTGGGATTACAGGCTTGAGCCACCGCGCCCGGCCCAAATATTGATGATTTTAAAGACTATTATGCCTATTGTTTACCATACTACTTTTCACCTGCTATTTGTTATATAATTTTATAATTTATGAAGTGTTTTCACATATACGGTTATTTGTTAATACACTGTGAGAAGTAAGGCAAAATATTCATATTCGAATTTCAATATTGACTCCTTTGGGTTTCAGAAACCATGTTAACTGTGTTTTTTCTATATTGTCATATGTCTTTCAACATAACCCAAAAATTGAGATCAAGTAATGGAAAGAACATAAATTTTGGAGTCAGTTTGAATTGTGTTTAAATGTCAGCTCTATGAGCATAGAAGAATTACTTAGCCTCTTTGATTGTCAGCTTCTTTATCTATAATATCTAGATAATCATACTTGTTTCTGTAATATGGTTGTGTAGAATTAGAAATAACATATAGGATGTTTGGCACAATTCCCAATATTTAGCAGGTGTTCGGTAAATGTAAGCTAGATGAGAAAAATTATTTACATTAGCAGTAACAGAGAACTGCTGCAAGAATATACAGGAACAACCTGATTATTCTGAAGAAAGCGACAGCCTTTAAATGGATCAGCATTGATGTACAGAAGCCATAAATGAAGCTGAGTTTGAATAATAATAATTTTAAGTACATTGGGCAAAAGAGCCACTGGTAGACAAAACATTTGTATCTATCTCTTTATACATTTCTAGGTTTTCTGTTATCCTGTGTACGAACTAACAATTTTGTCAACTGTGAATCAATAATAAAGTATTAGGTTTCATTACCCTTGTAGAGTTACCAGGTTCTGAACTGATTAAAATAAGGCTTCATTTATAGTTTTTGGAGTTTGAGATATTTCTACCCAGATATTGCATAGGTTTTCTTATTCTGGCGAATTCATTTTCATTTTAAATGTCAACACTTAACCAATTTAATTGAAATGTAGCATGCATCTTCTTTATAGACTATGTAATGTTTTTTTAATAACTTGGAGTAATCATTTATAACATCCTTTTGACATGCAGTAGTATAGTAATGCCTTTACATTTTTTAAAAACTATATAGTTAGGTACTGCTGTACTGTGTGAATCTAGACTGATAGGCTATTTGAGCTCTTATGTCAGCTTTGTATAGTTTTCTGTCTACTGCTTTTTGTTCCTCAGTTATAAATCCATTTCTTTTTGGCAGTTATCTGTGTTTTATCTTTGCTGCTTGCTGTATTGTAAGGCATAGTGTAAAGAGACATACTTTAATTTTAAATAAATTGTTTTTATTTGTAGTCTAAGCCTTCTTGACTACTGTAATTAAGAAAAAAACATACGGTGGCTCACACCGTTAATCCCAGCACTTTGGGAGGCTGAGGTGGGTGAATCACGAGGTCAAGAGATCGAGATCATCCTGGCCAACATGGTGAAACCCCGTCTAAAAATACAAAAATTAGCTGGGTGTGGTTGGCGCGTGCCTGTAGTCCCAGCTACTCAGGAGGCTGAAGCAGGAAAATCGCTTAAACCCAGGAGGCAGAGCTTGCAGTGAGCCGAGATAGCGCCACTGCACTCCAGCCTGGCGACAGCGTGAGACTCCATCCCCCCAAAAAAACCCCCCGAAAAAACCAAACCAAAACATAATTGGGACACAGACATGTAAATGTTACCTGTTTAAAGAATGCTATCGAATATACTATTCTTGAAGTCTTTGTTCTAAGGATGTAAGACATAAATTTGGACTGACTTGCTTTCTGGAAGACAGAATAACAAAGTCATCTAAATTTTTTCAGAACCGCTCTGATTTTCAGTGCCAGCATCGGTGGCAGAAAGTTTTAAATCCCGAATTGATAAAGGGTCCTTGGACTAAAGAAGAAGATCAGAGGGTAACGTGTTCATATTCTTTATGTTCACTATGTAGGTAGACTAACTTTTTTCTTCTTACTGTGTTGTTTTGACATGTGAAGTATATGTTTAAGTCACTTTGATTTTGTTTTCTGGGGGATACTTGCATAAGAATTGTATGTTAAGTGTCTTGAAATGTTGTTGGGTTTTTAAAAAATCTAGTGAAACCAAGTATAACATGTGGCCTTTTCTTCCTGAGAGTTTGGTTTGCAGGAGGAAAAATGCTATAAGGTTAGTTACCTTGTTCAGAGCTCAATTTCACAATTATTAGGGTATAGTTTCTTGTCAAAAATCTAACATTTTAAAACAGATTTTAATTTTATTTTTACATCTAATAACTTGATATGCACGGAAATCATTCTTAATTTTCTCTCTTAACCTATATTGACCCCAGGATTAGACAGATGTCAGAGCACTGTGTTTCCAAAGGTTTTGTGATTTAAAAACCAAGGTCATTTTTTGTGCTCTAAAGCTGGAGCACAAACAGCTTTAGAATAGAAGTGTTTCTGCACTTCACTAGGAATTGCTCTTTAGTTCATGCCCTTTAAGTCATAAAAATTGCTAATGCAGTTGGGGAATTAGGGCATCGTTACTTCTGCTTTGTTATTCTTATTTAACAAACATTATTTTGTTATTGTTTTAATTTTTTAAATAGAGATGGAATCTCGCTGTGTTGTCCAGGCTGGTCTTGAATTCCTGGGCTCAAGCAATCTACCCATCTTGGCGACTCAAAATGCTGGGATTACAGGCGTGAGCCACTGTGCCCAGCCGGAACAAACCTTAAAGTTACTTAACCTAGACTGATCTGATTTACTTGATGGCTACTCATAAGTTTTAAAATGTGTGATCTTGTTTAAAAATACATTAATCAAAGCCTGAAATTTTATTTTTAAAATATAGTAAATAGATACATATAGTGAAAATATCAGCATATATTAAACTTAGTCTACCAGTATAAAATTGTTTATGAGGTGATATTTGACATAGGGCAGTGAGGTAAAGTGGGCTGGAATAACTGTTCTTGGAATTTTAGGTAAAATAAAAACAAATGTAAAATGTGGAAAAAAGAATGTGTGATCTATATCCTTTCACTTTGAGAAAGGAAGAAATGACAGCCAGTAACTTGGTAGAGTCTTTCTGCTTCCAAATTATTTTTTTGGTTTTTGTTTTTGTTATTGGCTTTGTGCTGAAGCTTTTTTTTTTTTTTTAAATTAATATCGTGCATGTGAAGGCAATTTAATTTCAAGCATCTTTATTTAGCCCCTTGGATTTTTAGATGAGTTTGGAATAAGTTTTTGAAGTTGGCAAATGCTAGAGGGGTATTTATTAGTAAAATTTTTTCAAATACAAATTGTAGTTGTGGCTTGGATTTCATGCATTTATTTAAAATGGTATTCTTAAATTATGATTTAAAATTCTTTCAAGGTAATGCTTTTTTGAACTTTGTTTTTCTGTTTCTTAGGTTATTGAATTAGTTCAGAAATATGGACCAAAAAGATGGTCTTTAATTGCAAAACATTTAAAAGGAAGAATAGGCAAGCAGTGTAGAGAAAGATGGCATAATCATCTGAATCCTGAGGTAAAGAAATCTTCCTGGACAGAAGAGGAGGACAGGGTCATCTATGAAGCACATAAGCGATTGGGAAATCGTTGGGCAGAGATTGCCAAACTCCTTCCAGGAAGGTGCTTATATAAATGTATATCTATTTTTCTGTTCTTAAACATGATCTTTGTTACCATACTATTAAATACATTTTCAAGTACCCCACAACTTTTATTTTTATTCAAAAATAAATGTAGACTACATAAGCGACCTTTTGGGACCATTTGTACTAAAGTCTGTGGTAAGGGGTATGATTACTTTTTTAATGAATTATTTTATGGCAATAATTTGTACAATAAAATGATAGATTTTAGATTATGTAAACATTTAATACACTCCTAAAATCATGTTGACATATCAGTGCCAATCAAGTAGACCCCCTTTGTATAAACTCTGTTGGAAAAGAATCTAAATCTAAGATTTCTTTCATACTAGGTTCTATGCATAAGACAAGGAATAATATGCTAGCTGCAGTAAACTGCTATGAAAGTGTGTTAGGGAAAATTTAATCTTAATTATGGTATGATCCAAACCATGGAAGTAGTATATATATCCATGTGGCTAAAATACAAAGTTTTCCTCAGAAGCTGTGATGTGCTAAGTACACTCTACATTGTATTCATTCATGTGTTTTCTAATAGTGTTTAGTACAGCAGACCAACAACCTTGTGAAAATGCATACCTTACGCAGAAGCTATGCATTTGTCTTTTATTGCTATAATCTCTATCTATATAGTACTTTATAGCGTAAAGTGCTTTTATGTGTATTCTTAATCTTTGTAGACTTGGAAAGTATACAGAGCAAACATTGCTATCTTTGTTTTATAGGTAAGATATTAAGGCACAGTGTTTAATTTTTGATCTAAGCTATTAAACCAGGTCTAGATGCTTTTAATCTCTTGTACATCTTTTTACTTTCCATATAACCTAGCTTAGTGCCTTATATTTACAGAAAACCTACTTTATGTGTGTATATTTTATGAAGGATGAAATTTACACTATAAGTTGCTATGGGTTGAAGATTTACATTTTTATAAAGGGAACCTTAGATAGGAAGGGAGCTAATGAATTCTTTCTTACCATAAATATTTTGTTCTAAGAAGTGAAAAAGAATACTGGGATTCTTTAATTTGTGATTTACTTTTCATGATCATGTTTGTTCCTGTCTTAAGGCCTTGGCCCTTGCTATACCCTTTATCTGGAATGTTCTTTTTTCTTTCTGTTTTTGTATGGCTGGTTTGTTCTAACCAAACCAAAATGACCGCGTTACCCACTTTTCTTATCCTACTTTATTTGCGTTGTACTGATATTTTTCTTATTTATTTGTTTTTCTATTTTTCCTTCCTTCCCCACTCCCATGCTTCCAAGGAGAGTGTAAGCTCCATGAAAGCAGCAACCTGCTTTGCCCTATTCACTGCAGTATCTCTGGTGCTTAGAACTATGCCTGACATATGCACATACAGTTTATCTTTTGAATTTTAAAAAAGTTCCTATCTTCCTGAGTAGAAACTCTAAAAGAAAAATTAAGAAAAAAAGTATCTAATTTAACCAGTGTAAAAATTTGTTTTTGTCGGTTTGTACAAGTTACACAGTGTTGAAATCTGTGGAATCTTTTTTTCTTTCTAAATTGTACCTTTCATTTCTTAGGACTGATAATTCTATCAAAAATCATTGGAATTCTACTATGCGAAGAAAAGTAGAACAAGAGGGCTATTTACAAGATGGAATAAAATCAGAACGATCTTCATCTAAACTTCAACACAAACCTTGTGCAGCTATGGACCATTTGCAAACCCAGAATCAGTTTTACATACCCGTTCAGGCACATACTTTTAATACTTTTATTATTTAAAACAATTTCTTAAGTTACTATATGGGAAGGTGTTTGGTTTCTTAATAGGACAAGTGCAATGTATATTAAGGGGTAAATAGACATTTAAATTTCCAAACTGAAAAATAATATATGTAACTTTGATTTATAAGTATTTTGGGAACAAATATATGTAACTTTTACGTTAAGAAACTATGTATATTTCCTAATACTCTAATTCTTTGAATCTTCATTTGTGATTCAAAGCTAATGGTCATCTGTGCTTCAACATGTTATTGTACTCTCCATTATAAAGTTTTGATGTAATTATAGTATTGCTTATCTCTAAGAGGTAGATAAAATGGCTTAAAGCAGAAAGTAGCAAAAAATAAATAATTAATGCCCAGCTAATTTTGGGGGTATGGTAATTAATTGGTCGTTGCTGGCATTCAATTTTGCTTTTCCCCCTAATAACTAATCACTTCGGTAATTTTAGTCTTTGTTTAGATGATTCATTAAAGTAGATATTACATAAGCTCAAAATGGGGCAAGCTCTATGTTGTCCCTTACAGTGCATTTTTTACTTGGAAGAAATTACTGTAGGAGTCTTCATGGGGTTTGTTTTACATTTCCCTGTCTACCTGACTGTTATGCCATTTTTCAAGATGAGCAATTCTTGGTTCTTGTCACATAAATTGTAAAGATTAAGTCAGGACTTAGTAGTTATCTGGCAAAAGATAAAATGGGGCAAAATGTTAAAAATCTGTGCTTACTATGCCTCAGATTTGATTTTTAACATTTGTGGACATTAAGTTTTCTTAGGCATCATTTTAAAAGAACCACTTAGAGTAATGGCATTTTCATTAACAATAGGAAAACGTGTGAAGACGGTATCAGTACCTTAAGGTTTTTATTATTATGTTTCTTTACATTGTTCTTTAGAGTCGAGATTTCAGCAGCATAAACTGAAACATTCTGCTTCTGTCTTAGAAAGGCTATCATTTAAATTTTTTTTTTTTTAACTTGTAGAAAGATAATACTTGAGACCAACAGAGTGTTTAACAGTCTTAATCTAAATATGTTGGAAAGATGAGGATATTTCTTGTACTATAAGAATTGTTTCTTTTTTAATTTAAAAAGATATATGCATTATTTAATTAATTTAAACTAATAAGATAGTTTTATTATGTGTGTGACTTGATAAAACATAGATGGATTTGAAATACTGTCACAGATTTTCATGAAAAGTTTGAGAAAATAAGTTTCTAATTCATTAGCGTTACCAAGTTGAGCAATGTGATACTAATTGAGTATTGTAAAAGTTAAGTTCTATATTAGAAGTTATATATAATGCTTCTGTATTATGTAGTGATTTAGGAAGACCATTATGGAAAGCAGACAATTTCATATTTATATTTTTTTATTTTAAGGCTTTTCTTTTTTTTGAGACAGGCTGTCTCTGTTGCTAGGCTGAAGTGCAGTGGTGCACACACAGTTCACTGTAGCCTCACCTCCTGGGCTTACGTGATCCTCCTGCTTCATCCCTCTGGGTAGCATGCTCCACTATAGGCATGCTCCACTTTGCTCAGCTAATTTTTTTATTTTTTTTTAGAGACAGGATCTTGCCATGTTGCCCAGGCTGGTCTCAGACTCCTGGGCTCAAGTGATCCTCCCACCTCAGCCTCCCAAAGTGCTGGGGTTACAGAGGTGGGCCACTGCACCTGGCCCCGATTTTAAGGTTTTAAAAATACTTTCTCTCATATTCCTTTCCACTACTGCTTAGTAAATTTATATGTATCTTCAAAATTCTTATTACAGATGTTTTAGAAAAGCAGAATGACTTAGCCTATCATCAATGTATCTATTAAAAGTATGTGACTGATTCTGATCATTTTTCTTTTTTTTTTTTTTTGAGTCGCAGTTTCGCTCTTGTTACCCAGGTTGGAGTGCAATGGCGCGATCTCGGCTCACCGCAACCTCCGCCTCCCGGGTTCAGGCAGTTCTCCTGCCTCAGCCTCCTGAGTATCTGGGATTACAGGCACGCGCCACCATGCCCAGCTAATTTTTTGTATTTTTTTTTTAGTAGACGGGGTTTCACCATGTTGACTGGGATGGTCTCGATCTCTTGACCTCGTGATCCACCCGCCTCGGCCTCCCAAAGTGCTGGGATTACAGGCGTGAGCCACGGCGCCCGGCTCTGATCATTTTTCTAAGACAAGTAATAGAAGAATCTTTTGGCATGGGGTGGTGATAAGAGTAGGAGATATGAACATTGAAAAACTTGCTTCAGTCTCTGTCCCTGTGAGTGCTTCATTCATATGGACACATAGGAACACAATTACTTTGTTTTCTCTATGAGCAACCCTTCTAATAGTAGATGTTTAAATGTATTTGGTGAATATCAGATTTAATAAACTGGCTGATGAATCTAGGCTAAGTAATTCTTATATTTCATCTGGGCAAAAGTCTTTTCTAAGTGTTATAACTTTTTTTTTTTTGAGACGAGTTTTGTTCTTGTTGCCCAGGCTGGAGTGCAATGCACATTTTTGACTCACTGTAACCTTTGCCTCTGGGGTTCAAGCGATTCTCCTGCCTCAGCCTCCCAAGTAGCTGGGATTACAGGCACCCACCACCATGCCCAGCTAATTTTTTTGTATTTTTAGTAGGGATGGAGTTAGGGTTAGGGTTAGGAATGGAGATGTAGTTATTATTTAATAGATAAGAAACTATTATAGGTACAAAATTTCAAAATTAATACAGATGCTTTTAAGTTTTTTATGTTGATACTATGTCAGAAGTTTTTGTCATTTGCTTGAGATTTTAAACATTTATATAGCATTATATGTATGATAATAATGCATTAATTACTTTTTAGATCCCTGGGTATCAGTATGTGTCACCTGAAGGCAATTGTATAGAACATGTTCAGACTACTTCTGCCTTTATTCAGGTAACTTTTATTTATAACAAAGACCAAAGGAAATGTGTTCAGTCATATTTTTTAAAGCCCAGTAGTACCTATTTCCTCATCTATTAAACTAGGATAAAAATAATACTATGTGTCCTACTTAGAATACTGTAACATTAAAGGAGAAAGTGTATAAGTGGGTTTGAAGAAATATAAACTGTACAAATACAAGATGATTGACAATACCAGTATGGTAGTCCTTTCATTCTTCCAAGGTAAAGGATTCAAATTGTGAATGGACATATTTTTGCTAAATCGTATAGAATGTATGTATTAATATTTAAAAATCTAAAATATTTCAGACATACATTTCAGCCGATATAGATGATGCAACATGTTTTTTAATGCATTTAAATTTTCCCAAATCTCTTCTGATAAGTTGAAAATATTTACCAGCACCTCTTTAGATACCAGAGGGATTGTGATAATGAGCATTTAGTATTTAGTAGCATTAAGCTTTATTAGAAAAAAATATATTTCATGTTGCATAGAAGAAAGTAAAAATGAGAACACTAATAATAATAAAGCAATTATGTAAGTAGCCTGTTTTTCTTTTTTGTTTAACTTATTTTAGCAACCCTTCATTGATGAAGATCCTGATAAGGAAAAAAAAATAAAGGAACTTGAGTTACTTCTTATGTCAGCTGAGAATGAAGTTAGAAGAAAGCGAATTCCATCAGTAAGAAATAAGCTTAAGTGTTATTTATGTTGTTAGAATCCTTCATATATGCTTATTATAATTTTTATTAGCTAGAAAGCATGTTCAGAATGACTGCAGATTTTAATATGGAGTAAAAATAGTTTTTTTTTAATTTGCAACTTTGAGGTTGCCTGATTTTTTTTTTTCTTTTTGAGGTAGCATCTTGCTCTGTTGCCTAGGCTGAAGTGCGGTGGTGTAATCACTGCTCACAGAAGCCTTGACCTCCTGGGATCAAATGATGCTCCCACCTCAGCCTCTCAAGTAGCTAGGACTACAAGTGCATGACACCATGCCTGACACATTTTTGTATTTTTGCTTGTTTGTTTTGTAGAGATGGGATTTTGCCACATTGCTCAGGCTGGTATCGAACTCCTGGGCTCAAGTGATTCTTCTGCTGTGGCTTCCCAAAGTGCTGGGATTATAGGTGTGAGCCACTGTGCCTGGCCCAAGGTTGCCTGATTTTGATATGCATTTCTTTGAGCATAACTTACTAGGTTCTGTATTAGGATACTCCTTGAGTCATAAATACAAAGTGGATGTAAAGTAAAATCTTATATGTATATAATATATATATATATGTGAAAATTTTGTGTTTAGATTAGGCTTTGGCTTTATTTTAGACATTCAATGTAATGATGCCTTTAATTTTTTTTTAAAGAAAAGCTTAAAAAATAAAGAATTGAATAGATGTAGAGGGATTTATAAGCTCCATAATTACTTTTACTCTCTTGGAATATTTTTTCCTATTTACTAGATTTAGAATATGAGTTCAGTAAATTAGAAAAAGTAATAACACTAAAAATATATGGAAAAAGGAACATTTAGATTTTATGCTCTCTAAACAACTCTTCTAAAAGAAGAAATTTTATATAGATGTTGGGTTTTGGTTACTACATGTAAAAACTATTGTCTAAGATTTGGCTGATGAGAATAATTAGGAGTGTTAAATTAGGATCAAAGGTAATCATTTTAGTAGAATTAAGCAGATTATGCTAGATTGGTTAAAAGAAAGATACAAGTTTATACTTGTGACTTTTCTTAGGTTTTTAAATTAAAATTTTTAAATTGGGAAATAATTGTGCATATTCATGGGGTACATAGTGATGTTTCCATATATGTGGTGTATATTGACCAGATCATGGGAATTAGCATATCCATCATCTCAGATACTTATAATTTCTCTGTCTTGGGAACATTCAATATCCCCCTTCTAACTATTTGAAACTATTTAATATTGTTAATTATAATCATTCTCCAGTGATATAGAACACTAGAACTTGTTCCTTCTATCTAGCTGTTATTTTGTATCCTTTAAACATATTTCCCTATCCCTCCCTTTACTCTACCCTTCCTTTAAATAACACTTTTAAAAATTTAAAATAATCCCTTGAGCCTTTTTTAAATTTTAAAAATTTAAAATAATGCCTTGAGCCTTTTTACTACTTTTTTTTTTTTTCATTTTGAGACAGAGTCTTATTCAGCCAAGCTGGAGTGCTGTGGCACAGTCTTGGCTCTATAAGTTTTTTCTTTTTTTTTTTAATTAGCCAAGTGTGGTGGTGCACATGTGTGGTCTGAGCTAACCAGGAGGCTCCTGGGTAATGTTTGGCTAATTTTTAAAAATTTTTTAGTAGAGATGGGGTTTTATCATGTCGCTCATACTAGTCTTGAACACCTAACCTCATGTGATCTGCCCATCTTGGCCTCCCAAAGTACTGGGATTATAGGCATGAGCCACCATTCCTGGCCCCTTTTTACATTTAGAAAAGGGTTGGTTATTGGTTTGGGGCTGAATGAGAGGGCAATACGTTGAGAGTGACTGGGAACTCAGGCAAAATTACTAAGAAGATAACCTGAGATCTTGAAATAGTATTATGAGGCAATGGTGATGTGTTTGTACTAAAGAGGATATTAATAAAAATGATATTTACTGATTATAATAGGCAAGATATATACTATAAGAAAAGCAATTTCTGTTTTTTGTTTTTTGGGGTTTTTGAGTCAGGGTCTTGGTCTGTTGCCCAGGCTGGAGTGCAGTGGTTTAAGTAGTCCTCCCACTCAGCTTCCTGGATAGCTAGGACCACAGGTGTGCACCACCACACTTGGCTAAATAAAAAAAAACTTTTTGTAGAGATAGGATTTCCCTGTGTTGCAGTTTCTGTTTGGAAATTGCCAAAACCTTGAGCAACGAGGAAGACCTGACAGCAATGAGGAAGACCTGACATATAATTACCTTAAAGTTAATTTTGGTTTTGTTAAGAAGCTACAAATAGGCTAGGCTTGGTGGCTCATACCTGTAATCTCAGGACTTTGAGAGGCTGAGCTGGGAGGGTCACTTAAGCCCAGAAGTTTGAGGCTGCAGTAATGCAGTGAGCTATGATCATGCCACTGCACTTCAGCCTGAGTGACAGAGCAAGACCCTGTCTCAAAAAAATAAATAAATAAAAGGAGCTACAAATAATTGTTGTTAGAGAATCAACATTTGTAGATGATTATGTTATGTTTAAAACATTTTGGATTTTTTTAAATAGTGATCATACCCTTTTTAATTCAAAGAATGAATATTTTGCATTAAAAAGGAAGAAAGTTATTTTCTTTTTTGAACTTACTATCTAAAATCCGCCTTCATAAAGATTGGTTGAATAAGGGTATTCTGAATTCTAGAGGGAAGTTGCTGCAGCCAGTAGAATAGACTCCATACACATATAAAGCAGTTTTTCTTTTCTTTTCTTTTTTTTGAGACAGAGTCTCGCTTTGTCACCAGGCTGGAGTGTAGTGGCGTGCAATCTTGGCTCACGGCAACCTCCGACTCCCTGGTTCAAGCGATTCTCCTGCGTTAGCCTCCTGAGTAGGTGGGATTACAGGCACGTGCCACCACACCCAGCTAATTTTTATATTATTAGTAGAGATGGAGTTTCACTATGTTGGCCAGTATGGTCTAGATCTCCTGATCTCATGATCCACCTGCCCCAGCCTCCCAAAGTGCTGGGATTACAGGTGTGAGCTATCGCCTCCAGCTTAAAGCATTTTTCTCTAAAGAGTTATGTGATAATATTGACTGCCATTTTACTGAGTATCCATTGTACTCTATTCTTGTGAATGTTTTATATATATGCTTGGTAATCCTCATAGTAACTCTGTTAAGTGAGTAGAATGTCATTAAGAGATTTCACATTTAGGGTCTAATGTGGTGACTCACGCCTGTAATCCCAGCACTTTGGAAGGCTGAGGTTGGGCAGATCACTTGAGGCCGGAAGTTCGAGACCAGACTGGACAACGTGGTAAAAACCCGTCTCTGGAAAAAATACAAAAATTAACCAGGCATGGTGGTGTGCTCCTGTGTACTCAAGAAGCTGAGGTGGCAGGATCGTTTGAGCCTCGAAGGTGGAGTTTGCAGTGAGCCGAGATCGTGCCAGTGCACTCCAGCCTGGACGACACAGCGAGACCCTGTCTCAAAAAGAAAGAAAAGAGAGATTCACATTTAGGTCTGTCTGATTGTAACCCCATGATTTTTTTCACCGGGCCCAGTTATCGCCCTCTTTGTGTGTTGGATTGTTTTCTCACCTGCATCCTAACTGAAAGGTATGTGGTTTGGAGGGAACCACATGTTCCCTCCAGCATGACAGGAGAACCATGTTCCCTCCAGCATGACAGATCCATGTTGTCTCCTGAAATTCATTGTTAACACAGAAGGTGGCTATGGTAGTGAAAAAAGAAATAATGAAATAAGATTACTTGAATTTCTTTTATTTTTAAAACAGGTGGAATTTGCTTTGCAATAGGGCTCTATTACCTTATTTAAGTTGAAATGTAACATTTTGTTGTGAATCTCTAGAACATTCTGAAATTTTGTTTTTGTTTTTGAGATGAAGTCTCGCTTTGTCTCCCAGGCTGGAGTGCAATGGCACGATCTTGACTTACTGAAACCTCTGCCTCTTGGGTTCAAGTGATTCTCCTGCCTCAGCCTCCCAAGTAGCTAGGAATACAGGCATCCACCACCACGCCCAGCTATTTTTTTTTGTATTTTTAGTAGAGATGGGGTTTTGTCATATTGGCCAGGCTGGTCTGGAACTCCTGACCTCAGGTGATCCACCCACCTCGGCCTCCCAAAGTGCTGGGATTACAGGCATAAGCCACCGCGCCTGGCCATGAAAATTTATATTTTTAATAGTAATAGTTACATTTTATTCAGTGTTTCCTATAGACTTCCAGTGTGCTCTCTACAATATGGTAGTTACTAGCCTCATTTAATTTTAAATAAAATTTAAAATTTAGTTCCTTGGTTGTACTAGCCACATATCAGTTGCTTACATGGCTAGTGGCTCCCTTATTGAACAGCAGGAAATATAGAACATTTTCATCATCTCAGAAAGTTCTGTTGAATGATTTGTTTCTCATTCATAACTCTTTGAGGTCTCTTTTCTTATTTTTTTTTAAATTATAAAACACTAGAAAGTTAGACTTGCAACATAAGTAAATTGCCTAGTGTACATTTCTAAAGAGATAAAGAAAAAAATGACACAGTCTCTAACTTCAGGTTTTACTTTTCAGTGGGGACCTAGACAAGAAACAGGATAGTGTATGATAAAATAAGTCACAAGAATTGTTTTGCTTTTATTACTTCTAATTGACACATAATTGTATATATTTACGGGGTGTACAGTGTGCTATTTTGATACATGCATACAATGTGTCTTGGTCAAGTCACAGTAATTAGCACATTCATCACCTCAAACATTTATCATTTCTTTGTGTTGGGAACATTTAAATCCTGCTCTTATAGCGATTTGAAACTATACAATAAGTTGCTGTCAATTATAGCTACCCTATAGTGCTACAGAACACTGGAACTTACTCCTCCTCTCTAGTTGTATTTATATGTCCATTAACCAACCTTTGGCTGCTACTCTCCCTTCTCCACTCCCCTTCCTTGGCTCCCCTTCTTTGCCTCTAGTAACCACTATTCTCCATACTTCTATGAG